AAGGTTTGTAAATTGTGCTAATCAGATGATATCGGTGAATGTGTGAAATTCTTTAAATTAGCATTGTTTATTCACATTGTTTCACGAAATTCAATCTTAAACACAAGGACCGGTATTTTATTGAGAAATACGTAAAACTCATAGCGCGGTGGGAGTGTCATCAAATCATGAATTGCCTCAATACAGTGAGAATGTCGTTGGTTTGTTTATTAAATAGGATTACCTTCACGGGGAAAATTATTCAAGTATGAATCGTCTCTATTCGATTAGTTCAAGGCAACTATACTGTCAGGGTTAGTTTTATTTTTAGATAAGCATACATTTTAATGAATCCTGGTTCAAATCAATAAAGCAACCAACTTATACCTACACCTTATTGTAAGATTTATGCTTCCCTGAAAATAGTTCCATAAATTCAATCGATAATGTTGTAGGTCGAGAGATTTTTCTTCTGATAATTCTTAATTTCCTGAAATTTTCTTCCTGTATTTATCCAAAAGTTCCAAGGCCAGTTTTCCAGTCGATTTATCGCTCGGTTCGCTTTAATAACCTGCCCGAGGAAATTGTACAAAAGCTGTCTAAAAAAAGCGCGTTGTATGAATTTTTTACGGAATTTTCATTAATTCTTAAACAGCAATGTTCCAATAACTGATAAAATAGCTTACATAACGATAATAAAAAAAGGAATAATTTATGAGTTCTCCTAGAAATACGTTTAAAGTGTGTACTCTAAACCTGATTCAAAAAATAATCCCTTTCGACCGGGAAAACGCTTCGAGGGATAGAAAGATTGTGACGTTGAATAAGAATAAGGGCTCAATGCTCGCGTGAATATTTCGAGAGCCAGCAAACCAGCATAAATATCAACTTATTCCTAAGATAAAAGAAAAATGAATAATAACAGAGGCTATTAAAATTCAAACACAGAGACAGGTGTGCAAATTTTCAAGTACCTATAAAGCTACCGAATGGAAATTAATCAAAAACCAATTAATATACCTGTTGGATGGCGCACTAATCTGACTCTAACGTTGCTCATTTTATTAGATCTCAAACTGTATCAAACTAACAGCGAAATAGATTTCCCTTCAACTTAGGGCGTTCCAGAATTTCGCGTTACGTAATAACGGAAACCGAGCCGATTCACACATAATACTGTTCAGATTTATTATGTCTGAAATTATATAGTTCCCGAAACCTGAAGTTCCCTTTAATAGACAGCCCTTTCTGTTTGGTATATACTTACGACGATTTCTCGGTAATATGAATTGAGAATGGGAGAAAAACGCGATAGTCAGAATTGGAATTAGGGGTTCGATGCGACATTCAACAATTTATTTTATTTCGATGGAAATATTTTTCCGGACGAACCGGAGCGGATAAGACATTCACGTTAACCTGGCGGCTCCGCCAGTTCTTTAAATAAATCCGAACGAATTGGAAATTAAATTCCACGCAAATTGACCGGGCGAGGATTCAACTTAGTCCACGCTGAAATTTGTTAATAATTAATCGGGACACATGGACACCCTTAATCACTTGGGGTGCAAACCGCGATTATTTAATTAACAGGAGGGAGATTCTATTACATCCACCCTTTTTATTAAAGTTAATAAAGACAAGGAATTACTTGATAAAATAAGGACCCGAAAAATTTTACTTTTTAATTCGAATTTAGCTAACTAATTTTGAATTTCCTTATTCGAGAAATTTAATTTTCAGCGCACAGTGCTACTCTGTACGACGAGTCGAATAAAACCTTCTGCCATTTTTCTTTGATTAAATCACAAAGAGAATATACTATTATAGATACTATTACAATACTATTATTAGAAGATATACCTCTAATAATCATTTATCGATATAAAAGGCAAGCGGTTTTAATAGCGCAGTAAAACTGCCAAAGTTTAAGGAAACTGTTTCTATTTTTTAAGAAACATTAGTAACCTCGTTAGACATTTTTCGGATGGAAGAACCATTAATTATAGTAACTGAAACCCTTTTAAAATAGCTCTAGATGTCCTTGTTGAGTGTACGAGTGACCGTGACCTACATCAGGTATGTCAGGTGAAAATATCGATAGAAGGATGGCTGGAAGTGTGCGTTTTATTGTCACAGTTAATCACACAGGTATGTCGTGAAATGGGAAAAATAATTGAAGGGCACAAGAGACGCAAAGGGCATTAATTTTAGTCGCGTATAGTATTTATTGGAGAGTAATGGAATGGAAAAAATATGTTCACTTCCAATCCAATAAATTGGACGGGGAATTTCTTAATCAAAAGGGAAGTGACGCCAGCAAAAATAAATTACAGTCGAATTGAAAATACCGTCGGCGCATATTTCGATTATATACTTTTTCCAGGAAATTAATTAATTTCGCAAATTTTACAGAATAAATCAAATCTACTCGCTTTGATGAGCTAAAAATAAAAGGTTTATATTTTTTAGTCCAATTTAATTCGCGTTTATCTAAAAGCTAAACGAAATGAAAATTTAAGCATGACTGATCATTTTTTTCATTTAATCTGATTGTTTTCCTCTTTGCGAGCGAGTGACCATTCGGCAAATCAAAAGAAATACTAAAATTAGAATTTCATTTAAGAGGAGTTATGTAATTATCATCATTATTGCAATTTCAACGCGAGACCTTTTTATTAGTTTCGTGATATTTCCCCATTCATATCAATTGATTGTATTCCTTAGAGTTTCGAATACGAGTATCCAATCTGCTATTACTATTGGATTCTCCGCTGTGATTTCAAAATACAATTTATCCCTTAGTGGATTAAAAAATATCAAGGGAACTTGTACCAAGCACGAGTATATTAGCTTAAAAAAAAACAAGAACGCCATCTCATTAAATTAGTTATCCAAACGACTTGGGTAAAAACAAGAAAATATAAAAAAAAATGAAATAAAAAGGTACTTAATATTCATAGCACTATTCTCTTTTCCTTCAGTCATATAATATAAAAGAATCTGAATGATATGGATTGTGATAACACAGTCGTGTCACGAGAGAAATCGTTTTGTAAGATATAAATCACACAAATATTTCTGGCAAATATATTGTCGATATAGAATTTGAGCAGCAATATTTCATTCTTCAACAATAATCAATTGACATACATCAAATGATTTTTACGAATACAATTAACTGGCGAATGAATGAACCAAGGAAGCACAAAAACATGACGGATTGAATTTTCAATGAGTTCCATCGAATAAAATGAGTTTCCATCGAGAATTTATTAACCACATTGAAGAATAATTCATTTAATTCGCATTCATCCAGAGTTATATTCCGGCGTATTTTTTCGATTATCCTCATCACAATTTACTGTTCGATTGTATGTATAGTTGGTTGTATAACGCAATTCAACTGGATAGATCGGTTTAAAACGATTTCAAATATGTATTACAAATTTTAAAATACTTATAAGGAATATAAATACTTATATTAGAAAAAGTGTTCTTACAACAATGTTAGGAACTCAAGGTGTTATTGATGCAACAAATCAATTTGGACCAAAAAATGTGTGATAGATTTTTATTGCCTGTTTATATTCTAGTATCATACCTAATAAAGTTAACTATTATTTAAGCCTAATTAGGGTACAATTATCATTAAAGCAATTAGTATTACCTACCACAATATTTATTTCCAATAGACGCTATTTTCATACCTGGAGAAACATTTTAGGTACCTAACGCAATTAAATTACGTTACAATTAAGCTGATAGAAAAGTTCCATATTTAAATTACTATTTTAACTTTTCATTTTCACACTTTCTTAACGTAGAAAGAAAACAATAAACTTGGGGCGAATCGAACGAAATTTGTCAATATTTATCCGGGAATGGCAATTTTCCGGTGTAATGACGGCTGTGACCTAGATGCAGCTCGATAAAGTACAAAATATTAATTCATTTTATTATAGAACCTTCTACAAAACGAAAATAAGGCTTCTTGTCAAGCATTAAATTCATTTACGGATTCAACAGAAACATTGCATAGGTCAAAGTTAAAAAGTTTTCAAGGACAAACTTATTAATTTTAAGTTTGATTTTTATTAATGAAGTAATTTCGCGCATATGACGGTTTCAGTTATATCTGTCGATCTGTATATAGCAAGTTCCTGTCAGTTTCAGGATTTATGAATTATTTTAACGATGTGTATATAAAATTAAATACATTCCTATTAATATGCATTTATATTTGCTTGAATACTAGAGACTGACGTAAATTCTCTCAAGAGTTTCGTTCTGATAGAATGAATGAAAAAATAACCGATGCATATCCATTAAAGTAATGAAATTAAATCCATTACATTATGAAAAAAAATACGCGCTATACGGTTTAATTTAATTTGCACTTTTAAAGTTTTTTTTTATTTTTTTTGCTAAGAGGGAAATACAAAATATATTTTGAGAACTTAAAATTTAATCAAATACCATAAACATTTATGATAATAAGTTCGATTTATTTATAGTTCGCGTTGTGTTTTTCGAAATATGAAATGTTGAAAGTCATAATTGAATCAGATTTTCAAATAACTATCCCAAATTGTTGGGAACGAAAACGCCGTTGATGCTGAATGGAATTTTAATTTTGCAAATATAGTAATAACAAATTTAATATTGCAAGTATAGGTAATCAAAAATAAATAGTAAATGTGACTAATTTCTAATATTAATTGTCTTATCTCAACTTTATTATTGTTATTACATTTTTTGAACATAAACAATTTAATTTGTATCCATAGAGAATCTTAGTGGAATATGTTTTAATATTTAATCAGACGTTGAAAATCCATAATTTGCGCGTGCTACATGTTTAATGCCAAAGGGTTTCTTCCCCTATGTATAACATGAGGGGATCCAAAACTCGTTTTTACGAGAATACACGCAATAAATATATATTATTTTTTTTGTAATATTTCGTTGCTTGTAGGTAATATTTTTGTGCGTGTTTTAATTCTACTGAATGATCTCACCTGTATTAGGAGTTTGAACAATTCTGGCATTGTCGTTGGTCGGTAATAATTTTTCTCTTACTCTATCTTCATTGAAATCACTGAATTTGTAATTACTGTCTTCAGAACGCGAAATTTTAAACCGGCGCTCTGTCATTTTCAAAACTTTTCACTTACAACTCGAATCCGGTCGCACAGGGACCTTCAATACCATCAGAGATCACAAAAAATTCCAAAACCATGGAAATGGAATTGTCCGGCAACTTAAAAGTTGGAGAGTTCTGGAAAGGGATTTACTTTTACAGAGCCCGCACAATTTTTGTTTGAGATATTGACACCAATCAAGGACGAAACTCTATTTGCCTGCGACATCTACACAAACCTTTCCCATACAATTGCAACTAACAGTATAGAGGATATTATCAATATCGCCTTCTTTCCATTTCCATCTACCGGCGAATGGTGAAATTTTATCACTGGAACTGTCCTTTTCCATTAAAACGTTGGATACAACATTTTAAAACAATTTAACCGCAATTTATCAGCGCCTGGACGGCGAACAATCAATTTTTATGGGGATTGTTGCGCTATACAGAATACAGTTCTGATATCGACTGACGGAAATGTGAGTATGCCTGAGTCTTTCAGCAGTTTCAGCGTCTATAAGCAGAACCGGGTTAGCTTTAAATTCTTGTCGCAATTTCATGGGCGATTTAAAAATGCCTTTAAGGAGGACCTAAACCCGCGTGATATTTTCCTACGTGCGGCGTCTTCCAATAAAATTTTTATATCACACGACGATGGGCGAATTCCGATGGAAATTCCTTTTGAGAGAATTTATTTTACTAGGTATACGAACTTAATTGAATTTTGTACGAATTCGTTTTCACATATCTGAATATTGGAATAATTCCTGGCCCTCTGCTGTGCGCACATAATCTTGTTACATAGGATTAATGCAACGAAGTCATATGGTTTGCAAGTGTAATGTCCAGTGAAACTTGATTAATTGGACATAAGGCAATAAAATTTGCTTAAAACGCGCTTAAAAATAATCACGAACTTTATCTTACTCTACCCATTACACCGGTAACAAAAATCAATAAATATTTTCTACCTGTAGGTGTGGGTGTAGGTGTAAATGTATACAATACGTATCGATGTAAGCGTAAAATACGAAAATAAAATACACTTCGGGAAGGAGTTACAGAAAATAATCTCTGTCATTGACTCCATAGAAGTCTGTAAGGATGTTTAAAAATAGACTACCGGCCCTATAATAATGCTCATGCACTCTTTAAATATTTAACCACGAATATTTTATCATTAACGAGTATAATTTAATCAACTTTATACATGGTGGTGTACGTAAATATCAGGTCGAGGAGAAAATTAGTTTTTCTGTTATCCATCATTTTTATCTAACACATGAAATATAAATTGGAAAATATTGGATATTAATTTTCTCACGGGCAAGTATATTTTTTACCTTTTTCGGAATTATACTGGGGTGATTGATGTGTTGTAAGTATATATCAGACATTTTTTTCAGGTATCATTAATTTTAAAACCCCAAAATGTATGCATAATATACACATTTTATTCATAAATTAAATTCAAGATGAGTTTTGTTTCGTTTAAAAAAATTAAATAACTGTCATTTACATTTAAATGAGGATTTGCTAAATAATCTGGCAAACTTGATTAAATATCTCTAACTTCTAGATCACAATTCGTTCATGATCATGCTAAAATCAAGACATGGCAACATAGCAAATTGTTTTCTGAAATTAGACACATGACATATCAATTTCTAGGGACTTTCCTTTACGTTAGTAACTAGTTGGTGCGACTGCAGCGACACGCAGCGATTTTGCGCACTTGCGAATGTCGATGGATTTGACTTGACAATCTTGACATTTACAGCACTGCAAAATATGGTGTATTGTCAAGAACGATAATGAAGTTTTAGATAAGATAAAAAAAATTAAACTGTGCCTGTGAAACTAATTAAGAAGTAAATAACAAGATGTCCGGTTTCGACGAAAACCCTTTTGGCGAACCAACAATAGACAACCCGTTTGCGGTGAGTATCTCGCTCTGAATTGTTATGCAGCAGGCTCAAAATAAATAACCGCATATAATCGTTGTTAATAAAAACAAAGCTTTTTTTGTTCGCAACGTATGGTTTATTTAATTTACGTTTCGTCGTTTTTAGGATCCGTCTGTACAACAAGTGGCTAGGAACACGAATGCCCAACTTAGGGTTGATGATTATAATCCGTTCGATAAACAAACCCAGAACCAAAAACCCGTATGTATATTTTATGCCTTTTAGTTCTTGGCTGTATAACATATTGGCCTTCATTTTGAAAGGACCCACCGATACATTTTCGAAGAATTCGAAAAGAAATATATAATTTTAATTGATTCCTCTATTCAAAAATAATGAGGCGCATTTTTTTACTTATGGAAATATATCTTTAAATTTATTGAGATAAAGAGAAGAATCTGATAGCTATTTAAATTATTTTTAGTAATAGATTTTTACATGATCTAAAATCAATTTGTTTTTTGGAAGTCTAAATGTGATATATTGAAATTTCAACACATTTTCTCACAAATAACATAAAAAAATATTTAATGAGTGATTAATCGAAAACAATAAACCTATGATGGAATAAATTTATCATAAAAAATTATCAATTTCTTAATCTTTTTTTTATAATCGCAAAATTTATTGCATTACAAGGCATTTCTGGAAATTAAAACACCTAACACCTAACACTAGTAATAAAACAAAGCGTTAAACTTCATAATTTTTAAATAAAATTATGCACAAGTATTTTTAATCATCGACTGTCTCATGTGCGATAACAAAAATAGTTTAAAAAGCATTTATACAAAAAAATATTTACGAAGAATGTCTTTATAATTATTTTTTAAGCACCACTAACGTTACGAATATTCCTCGTTTATGCTTCTGCCTATTAACAATCTTCTGATTTCAGAAGTGCCCGCTCCTATTTCGTACAACTTCGCGTCCCTAAGGAACCTCCCTGTGGGATAATCGTTGATGTACCCGTTACCTCCTAATATCTGTATAGCGTCCAAAGCCATTTGCGTACTTTTCTCGGCGCAGTACAGTATAACACCGGCGCAGTCTTTCCTATTAACCTTCTTTTTATCGCAAGAGCGAGCGACGCTGTACAAATAGCTCCTGCACGCGCTCAAAGTCGTATACATGTCGGCCAGCTTCGCCTGGATGAGCTGGAAATGGCCGATGGGCTCGTTGAACTGCTTCCTGACGTGGGCGTACGAGAAAGCCACGTCGCAGCAAGCCTGCATGATCCCCACCGGTCCCGCTGCTAAAACCAACCTCTCCAGGTCCAAACCACTCATCAACACATACACCCCTTTATTCTCGACGCCGAGCACGTTTTGCTTGGGTACTTTGCAGTCTTCGAAGATGAGCTCGCCCGTGGGGGATCCCCGCATTCCCAGCTTGTCGAGCTTAGGGCCGGTTTTGAACCCGTCGAAGCCTTTTTCTACGACGAACGCGGTGATGCCGTGTTGGGGTTTCTTGACCGTTAAATCGGTTTTCGCGTAAACGACGAGCACGTCGGCTTCGGGTCCGTTGGTGATCCAGAATTTGTTGCCGTTTAACACGTAGTAGTCGCCTTTCTTTTCGGCTTTTAGTTTCATTGAAACCACGTCGGAGCCGGCTCCTGATTCCGACATGGCGAGCGCTCCGATGTGCTCGCCGGTGCATAGTTTCGGTAGATATTTCTTTTTCAAGTCGTCCGAACCGTTGCGGTGGATTTGGTTCACGCACAAATTGGAGTGGGCCCCGTAGGAGAGAGCGATAGCGCCCGATGCTCGGGATATTTCTTCCATAATGATGCAATGTTCCAAATACGAGCCTTCGGTGCCGCCATACTCCTGGTTTACTGTCACTCCTAAGGTTCCTAAACTGCCTAATTTCTTCCAGAAATTTTTGAAATCGTCGAATTTGTTGGTTTTGTCGATTTCGTTGGCTATGGGCGCGAGTTCTTTTTGCACGAAATTAAATATGCTGTCTCTTAGCTGGATTTCTTCGTCTCTAAGTCCGAAAATGTGATCGTCTATGGGATAGAACTGAGATACACCTCTTACGACCGTTTGCGATATTCTACGCTTAGTTCTCAACAAATTCCTCAAATTCAATGCCATTTGTAATTCTCGCTCGCAGCACTACTTTAATATCAATTACAATAATAACTAAATGGTTTTCTTTCGGCGGTTTATCACTTAAATGTTTGTTGCCTTATCTTATAGATAACTCCCATTCTTTATGTAAACTGAGCAATAATGTGCATAATCTGCTTTGTTGTTGAAACAGAATTGATTTGAACTTCAACCTAATGCCATTGTAAAGGCCAGTGGCGCAGTACCCAATTTACTCTCGTTATCGTAATTACTACAGACGGTCTCTGAAAAAATCTGCCGTTTTAAAATATTCATTACTTTAAATTAACTCAATTGTTCTCGACGATGGGCTGCAAGTGAAATGTCCATTTGTTCACATAATGCACCAGTAGGCATTAATTGTTTGAAAAATATGGAGTTTTTGAATTTAACTTACAAAAAATTACAATCCATTATAAAAACTTATTAACGCGAAATGTCTACACCAATGTTTAAATTAAAATAATTTTCATGTTTGTACGTGGATATTCCAATTTTAATTCATGTAAGGTGCAAATAAATACAATGATTATTCAAAATTATGTGGTAAAAATAAAACGTTTTTATGGTTTATCGCTTGTAAAATTCTATATTGCTAAAAAAAATAATTAAAACTTCCTGCGCTTGTACAAATGACAATGACGTATCAATGAATTTTATGTTCGGAAATTCAATACATCACTTTTAATAAGCGATTTAATCTTGCCCCATTGTAAATGCGATGATGAATGCTAGAAAGGCCTCGGCGATAAAAAAAACGATAATAATAATTGTAATACACAAAAAAATACCAAATTAATTGGTTGTTGTAAACCAGAAAGTGAATAAAATTTTGTCTAGGTTTCTTATGGCCAATCAAACACCGGACCTGCGATCATGCAACCCACACAAGAGCCTCCTGCGTACACGAGAAGCGGCCAGCAAGCCCAAACTACTGCGAAAGCGGCCATCGACACGTCAGAATTACAAGTAAACCCGGAATTCCACTAAAACAGCAACGCGATTAATCCAAAAAAAATTTCAGAGGAGACAGGAAGAGCTGGAACGCAAAGAACAAGAACTGACGCGTCGCGAGGAAGAAATGAGAAATTCTAGTTACAATGTGAGACGCAACAATTGGCCCCCGTTACCCGAGCAATGCTGTTTCCAGCCCTGCTTCTATCAGGACATCCAAGTCGACATACCTTTAGAATTCCAAAAAATCGTGAGGAAACTCTACTATCTCTGGATATGTAAGCGCTTTCATTGCAAATTAAGGTTGCAACATTCGGATGAGTCTTCATAAAGGATTGATTCCCACTGGACCAATTTCGAAATGAACTTAGTAAATTTGTTATGTTTATGTTGGTACTCAAAAAATATGTCACTAGAATACTGTCATTAATGTCAAGTCAACGTCAAATCGATCATTTGCACGGAGCGTAAACATTATTCTGCTTTTAATCTCGGTAGAAATAACGTGTTTTGTTTATTTTTCCTAGTTTTTTATATAATGATAGGCAAAAATAATGAACAACCTAGTGAATTAATGTTCTTACGACACTGTGTTGATTTGTATTCAAAATTGGGACATTTCTTGAAAATAATAATAACAGTGCACTTTGGGTTGCATAAATTCTTAGGTCACGTGGGAATCAACCATTTTTGAATACTCTGTGTGTTAATTAATAAGTCTAAATGTTTCGGAATCTAATCCATTCATTTTATTTTAGACCATGGTGCTTTAATGATAATAAATGTGATAGGCGGTATGATTTTGGATGAGCCTTCGGTCATCGGATTGGGGATTTTGTATCTTTTGTTGTTCACACCTTTCGGTTACTTGTGCTGGTTCAGACCGGCATACAAAGCGTTCCGTTCGGATTCTTCGTTCAATTTTATGGTATTTTTCTTTATATTCTTCTTTCAATTCGTTGTTACTACACTGCAAATGATCGGGATACCCGGAGCAGGAACAATGTAAGTTATTAACGCGAATAAATATGATTTTTTATGTTGCAACTTTACTTAAAAATCTATACATAATTTTTTAATTCTTTTCAGAGGAATCATAACGGCTTTATCGACGTTTAATCACACGACTTGGGAGATAATTAAAGGTATAATCGCTTTGATTATAGCCATTGGTTTCGGTCTGGCAGCTGCGGCCGATCTTTTCTTGTTATCTAAGGTAAGTCTCGTTTACGTTTAAACTTTTTGATCTACAATTTGTAATTTCAGATTCACCGTATGTACAGAAGTACCGGCGCTAGTTTGGCGAAGGCACAGCAGGAATTCACCACGGAGTTTTTCCGCAACCAGCACGTCAGGAGCGCCGCCAGCAACGTAGCAGCAGCCGCAGTGCAATCACAGTTAAACCAGAATAATCAAAGTACCCCAAGATATTAGTTTTAACTACTATTAATCTATTTTATGATAAATTTTAGTGTCAGTATTTAAATTTCAAAAGACTTAAAAGATTTTGTTGATTATTGTTAAAAAGGATAATATCATTAATCGTAACGAACGTGGACACCTTATTATACTTAAATGTAGACAATAGATGCGTGGGTGAATCGCATAATCGTTAAAAAATATGTTTTTTTTTGCTTATATGTTGGAAATTTTAAAACTAAAGTGAACTTGCGTATTCGAAATTGGAAGAGTCGAGTTCACAGTGAAATTAATCGCATTTTTTAATATCTACGACGATTTGCCATACATGAAATAAGTAGTTGATTATTTCGTAAGTGTTGGGAATTCGTTGTATATACAATTTTTTGTTACATCGATTTTAGATAACGTGGGTTGTACATAATTTGTCCTGAAACATCCCCGGCGCCTAATTCTTCTAATTTTTTTTTTGAGGGGATGTAATACTTGTGGTATGAGTTTGGGACATATTAAATTGTGAATGAAAGTATCGTTGTATTTTTGTCAATTACCTGTATTTTCGATAAAGCTTAAATATTGCAACAGATTAATCTATTTTTATTGTTAATCGATATAAATCTACTAACAGCACTGTCATGAAACTTCACAAATAATTACAGCTGGTTTAATCAGGTAATGCATTATATTATTAAAGTTGTTACTAATAAAGATAAATCATCAGGTATTTTCTATACGATTTTTACTCCCTTGTCGTGTTTCGAAATTTCAAAGTTTTTTACAACTGATTGAATTATTCTCGATTCATTTAATCATCTAGTAAGAAAACTCCACAGAAAATTTGTGCAAAAGCGTAAATACTGATTCGTGTAGACAATACGGTAAAAAATGGAAGTGGGAAAATTTCATTTACTCTGTACGACGTGGATTTTAATTTGTATCGTCGTAATGAAACTTCAACCATTCTTCCGATCGGTTGCAATAATGACACGTGGAATTTTCGTTAAAATATTATTAAAAAAAGTCCCGAGTAGACATCGATTAATAATAACACATGGAGTATATTTTCTCGTTCGCGGCATTCACCAGATATTGCAATTTTAGGATCTAGTTACAGACGCAGCTTTAATAAAATTGTCAAAAAATATTTTGAATTTTTGCAAATTATTTCTTTGGAGTCACTTATTTATATTTTTTGTTTGCTTGTACTTAATTAAACCGCCCTCATATTTATACTGATGCTATTAGGGTATTATATAAATTAGTCTGTGTTATACATTTTGGTACTTTTTATTCTAACGTAATTGATCATAATGATTTAAATAATGGCCATACTATCGTTAATTTTTACGACAACGGTCTTTTGATTATGATCACTTACAGTATATTTGAAGACAAACTTCAGCACTTGGATTTATTTATTATACAGTTTGTCACTCTTTTTTTGTAAGTTGAGTTATGAATTACAGAAATATAATAAAAAATAAAAAGAGTTTTTTACCATTATTGTGTTCCAGTATCAATCGAGCTCATTACCAATAAATTGGGAAACTGATTTATTGATTCATCAAAGATTTCATATTTTGGCGTAAGAACACTGCTGGGTCTTACAATAAAAACCTGTTTTGATAGCCTAGATTAACCTCGGCCTTTTAATTTAGGCATTGGCTCGTTAAATCGAATTTCCCAAAAATAATCCCAATTCTTTTCACGAAGAATCAGCCATTTAGAAAAGTAACTAAATAACGCGATGCTGTATTATTATTATTAGTAGTATAGTATATTTCCTTACTATATCTCAACAGTTTATTATTAGTCGAGTTACTTCATAAATAATTTACATCAGCAATAAATTCTCTGAATTCGTTGAATAAATAACACTCAATTATTTGCAAAAACATCATGGCAATTCAGGTGGAAAGTGGAAGGATGTAAGTAACTAGCAATAATAATTATTTCAAGCGTAAAACTTAATAAGGTGCAGTAGGAAATTTTTAATTGAATTCGTTTTTCGCACTTTGTTGTGATGTATTCAGTCGCATTAAACCTAAACGGTTTTATTTTATACAGTTATTTCGGTAAGAGAGAATGTGACGCCTATGCATTGTGGTCAAATCGCCGATATATCGTTTGGATGATATTAAAACGTCTTTATATGTATATCGCTGAGAACCTGTGAATTTAGTCGATCTGTTTCAAGCCGTAATTGTGGAAGTCTTGGCGTATTTTTCGAATAATTTGCAAAATCGAACCTGCTGTGGCTCCAGCAGTTGTGTGGACGTTTTGAAATGAAGCAAACGATTGTGTTTTTGCTTATTTTTTTGGCTACATGTTATTCTGCACAAGGTAAGTCAAAGACCGGTTTTGTTTTATTAACGTTTATTTCGGAAACAAAGAATGCTAAAACTACGTCGAAATTTCGTTAAAATAATTAATTAATAAGGAACTATTAATCGGGTTTATGACAAGGCAAAAACAACTACACAAACAAGAAATTGTTTATAATATAAATTTTATACGAAAATAATGAGCATTTAAATACTCTGGTTCAGGAAATTTGTTAGAATTTATTTTAAAATAAATATAGCATTTTTGTATCTATACTATTGAACTAAATATTATCATAATTTAGAATAATACAAATTAATACAAGAATGTACAAAATGCAAATTTTTAACCAATAATACCAAAGTAAATACGTAAATATTATGGATTGCTTGAAATATTATCTCATTATTCGTCATTAGGAATATGTAACGATTTGTCTCTACCTACACAGAGAATGCTTCATTTCTTTCATTCTGACGTAGATACATTTTACGCACGTGCCAAAAAGGTAAAATCTGATTCACTTCGAACTTCTATAAAAACAATTAATTGACGCATTTTATGTAATGAATTATTCCCTTCAATTTCAGGTAAATCCTGATTCACCCAATAACGACTTACTGGATTCAACAAATTTCCTTATCAAAACGATTTCTAGTTACTTATAATTAAGTAGCAAGTTTTTTTATAAACATTTATCACTGTTTTCATACGATCGTTTAAAAAGCATAAACATGATAATAGAATTCAAATTACCCGGTTCTTGATCTGTTTCAGTTGGAAATAAATGCACCATAAGGGAGACGTCTAGAAGGGGGACGTGTCAAAAAGAACGAAATTGCCCGGGCGTGCAAGAAGATGCCAAAAAAGGCATAAGGCCCACGTTATGCGGATATTACGATTTGAACGGCCTAATCGTTTGTTGCGAGAGTAAGAAATCAATTAGCAATCCCCTAACAATTGGGAAAACATATCATTGTTTTAGAACCGGTCGAAGTTAACGATTTAACATCAATAAACATTAACAACAATTTCGGAGAAATTACCGAAAATTCGAACAGAAAACTCAGAATAAGCGAAGAAAGTATGAATAAATGTGTTAAAGACATTTGTAGTTTTGCTAATTTCGTTATGTTTTAGAATGCCAGGAATATAGTAGGCCAGTTCAATTAGTCCTTTCTGTATTGCCGTTAGTATCTGATGTGACACCTGTTAATATTACTGTTCCAAATTGTGATTACAATACTGTTCCATTGATAGTTGGTGGATTGCCCGCAGACCCAGGTGAATTTCCGTTTATGGTAAGTTCATTTCCTTCCGCATATTCCAAATATCTAGAATATTTACCAGTAATGACGTACTTTTTAGGCCTTGGTAGGTTTCAATTCGTCGGATAATCCTTGGAGATGCGGTGGCACTTTAATCAGCGATCGTTTTGTACTCACGGCAGCTCACTGCACTTTTACCAGAGATGCGTAAGTTAATTAAAAAAAATATCTCCTGGTATTATTAGAAAAATATAATAATTTTTAGTGGTAAACCTGCCCTGGTCCGTCTCGGAGAACTAGATTTAAGCAGCGAAAACGACGGGTCCCAATACAAAGACTATTACTTATCGAGAGTAATAACTCACGATGGATACAAGTATCCAGAAAAATATAACGACATCGCTCTGCTCGAGACGAGAGACAAGATAGTATTTACTCAGTTTATTAGACCTGCTTGTTTGTACACTCGCAAAGACATTAACAACGACAAGGCTTTGGCGATGGGATTCGGGAAAAATGCCTTCGCTGGAGAATTCAGCGACAAGCTGATGAAGGTTTCGTTGGATCTGTTCGATAACCAACGTTGCATGAGGACGTATCCAGCTAATAATAAGGAACTTCCTAGAGGTATTATTTCAACGATGTTGTGTTCCGGAGTTCTGACCGGCGGGCATGATACTTGTCTTGTAAGTAATTAGAAAAAAAATACATGAGGAATGCAGCGGTGATTTGAAAAATTTGTTTCAGGGCGATTCGGGCGGTCCTTTGGTGGTTACGAAAAAAGGGAATATGTGCCAATTTTTCGTCGTAGGAATAACTTCGTTTGGTAAACTTTGTGGGCAACGTAACACCCCAGCTATTTACACGCGTGTATCGGAGTACGTTGATTGGATAGAAGAACGAGTGTTTAAGTAATTTTTGTATTTTTACTTTTTTTTATACTTAATATTTTTGACGAAATGATTTATTACACACAATTATTTTTTTTTAATCACAAAACCAACCGAATTACCTCGCTTCTTGTATTGCAAAATACTAACACAAATATTCTAATAATACGAAATAAGTACATCGGATTAACAAATATCCTTAGCTGGAACAAACGCACCAGTTCAGTTAAGTTACCTTTACACAGGCGACCACGTATTTTACGATTTAATTTTCCGAAACTGAAACTTCAGAAAATGCAAATCCTAAAATTTTCGACAAAAGTTAACTCCATTACCAATTAAAATTTTCGGGAAGAAGATGGAGAAATACTGTTTCACAGTTAAGGGAAACTTTTGCAACCATAATAATCACGAGATTACGCAGTATAAAATTATCTCGGATTTTCATATAAAAACCCAACATTCCGGAAAATATACCTGCGTTGGGAGAAAATTCGCGACTACAGGAAGATGCTGCGAGAAAACCCATATTAACCAAATAGAAAAAACAGGTATGGAAGCCTTTCGAGAGAAAGGGATTTTAGCGCTTTTTCGGTAGGTTAGGGGAAAATTTTTTCAATTATCTTCGAAGGTAATTTTAAAACAGTAGGTATACATTTTCCCACAATAAAAATACCCGCGGAATTTGATTCGAGGAACCAGTCGGAACTCGAAATGAATACAAAATTACCTATAAATCAATATTTTTCATAATTCATGGATCTGTGCCGAATAAATTAATAAAAGTAAGTAAATAATAATGTTAAATTTCAGTTATTTGAACGAGTAGGTAAACAAGTTAAATAAGAGTCCTTACCATAGCGAGAGAAAATTATACTTGCCGTTGAAAGCGAAATTTCTAATCGAATTGAGGTTATTACTGCTTTAATACAATATAGGTACTGCGTACACAGTTTTTCCTGCATCCCTATAGTAATTTTCTAATAAATTTAATAAACACTGTTACTTTTCAATTAAATGCACAACGAACGCATAATTATTTCCTGCAGGATTTAACACGTATTCACGCACCCTTTACACATTGCATAATTTCGATAGAATAGAAGAGAAACTATTACGCACTGAGTCATCAAATCTTGCTCTATAATCTAATACGAAGAGTTTGTAATCAAATAATCAATCTTTTAAATTCGCAGCCGACCGTTCAAGTCTCAGTAAACAGACATTTCCCCACAGTAACATAGGGAATTCCTCGGGGATGGTTCGTAAGCCTCCGAATATGTTTGATTTATATTCTTGGATGCCGAAAACACCCGATCCCGCAAATAATTAATGATTTAATTGGAAAGGATCCCTCAAAAAGTGATGACGAATACTTAGGCTTTAATTAGAATTTTACTGGACTCCGGATATGAGTTAATAAACAGGTTTTTTTCGCGTTGTGCAAAGCAAAGCAAAGGACTTATATTGCTGTAATTATACTTCAATATATTCGCTCGGAGTGTAATATAGGATATGTGGATACCTAAAGTTCGCTGTGAAATTTAAAAATTTTACGGGAAATATTTAGAAAGATCGATAGGAGTCGAGTAATTTTTTCTACAATGAAATTTTAGTGTTTAGAACAAAAAAAAATATCGATTGGATAAAAGTTCACCCTGTATAGCTGCCTATATTACTTTCGAAGCTTCACAGAATTTCACTCGATTTTCGCTAACCTTTGAAATTTTAATTTAAAATGTAAAATAAGGAAAGAGACAAACACTATATTAAACTTTTTGCATTGATCGATATTAAATTATTTTCCGTCTAGGTATCCTATACCGGTTGTTTTTAAAAAATTTTAATATCATCCCTGTTCTGCTTGCAGGTATTGCAAACATCTCGGAATATTAACTAAGAAGCTTTATATAAAAAAACGTTACCTATTATTGACAAAAAACAAGTATATACTGAATAATGAAAATTCCATTTAAAATTACTGTATTTCGCGATTTATTACATCGCATCTCTTGAAGTAGTGCTTTTCGTTGCCTTTTTCTAAAATTTCTAATGCTAAATTAAAAAGGAAAAAAATTTCATTGAGTTCCGAAAGGAATATCACAAATGTCTGCAGCATCAGGAAACTCCGTTAGTAAAGTTAATTTGCATTTTTAAACACAGCTTATCAGATTACTCTTCCTTAAAACATACGAGGTGAACGTTAATATAGTTTATTTAAGAAATAATTCTTGCTTTTAAATTGGAGTAGAGTATAAATAATGGCGTGCTCTGGAATATATGCAAGTCCTGAAAAAGTTATTCATTAATTCGTGAAAGCAAAAGTAAAGGGCCAATTAAAGTTCTTAGAAAGCTTATAGGTATACATAACATACAAAAGTTTAAATCGTTAATTCAAACAAAAAAAAAGTCTCCTTAAATTTTTTAAATAGAACATTTTTCCGTGTAATCACAACGACTATAAGAATATAGGTGGGTACTTACGAATATTCGGTGTTCTATTAAAAGTGTTTCCCGATTCCACCCGCCTTTAATAGCACCAAATAAATTAAGCGATTTTTTTTTTCGAAACCCAATAAAGAATCACATTCGTCTCTTCCGAGCGGCTTAATCAAACATTATTCGCGCCCTTCGAAAAAAATTCAATAAACCAACTTTCCTCGTGGTACAGCTATAGAGCGAAACCGAAAGCCCTGCGAACCTAAAATCAGATTTTGTTTTAACAGAGTATATACACCTAAGAATAGAAAGCGACGGACGGTCGAGTGTGCGGATTACATTCCCACCCCCGGTTGCAATGAAGGTGGGTGAGTCGCCTGCAATAAGGGGGTGAACGGAAAAAATGGGCGAGAGGAAGCGAGAAGGAAGAGGGAATTTATCGTATTCCCGTGCCCGGTTCGCGGTAATTGCAAGGTACGTTCCCTTTCTCCTTTTAACTGCGTCGTTCCACCTAAATATATGTAATAAATAAAACGAATGGAAAATCAGTTAGCGGATCCTCTTAATGCTCCGTATTTTTCTTACAGTTAATTCGTCGACGTTTTAAATCTGGAATTTATGCTGGCGAAATTTCTTGCTCGAAAATACCTGATTTTATATCTTCTCGATTTAAAAGGATATCGTTAATATCTGCAGTAATTTGGTGTGTTTCGGCATTCGCGTTCCCCCGTGTATAATAATAGCAAGTGTCTGAAATATTTTAAACGACCAAAGCGAAATTTTATTAATCTAATTGTAAGCGTGTCGAGCGTAGCTGATAAGCATTTTGTGAAGAATTTAATTTATGCAGCGAGTGTCATTATTCTGATGATAAATATGCAGTGTGCCTTTTTTTAAGTTTTTTAAGTAAATTCAGTGCATTAAAATTCATATCCCTGGTGGTTTGTCAGTTTGCAATTTAGATATCCTATAGTGGGAAAGTGCGATAATCCTAGCTTGCACAAAGGACGTCGGTCAATAAAGCGGGAAAACACTCAGTTGTGGTTTTGCCTAGACTTCTCAGTGTTCCGGTATCAGGAATGATTCGTTATATGCCGGTGACAAATTGTTGAAAAATAGATATATATTTTTTTCTAATTCGGTGCACGCGCAAAGGCACTATCGCAAAATTCAATTTCGCGGCATTGTCGTCGAAAAAATGCACTACAAATGAAAGCATACGAGGCCAAATAACATGTAAATCGTCAATCCCTTCGAAATTCGATATAATATTTTTTTCCTTTTTTATTATCCATTCTCTTCAAAAAAGTCGAAACGTAAGGATAAGGTTTTCCTGAAAATCTAAGTATATAAAACTAACCTCGTGAAAGGATTTCTAGATAAAATCAAGTAAAGTTGCATCGATATTCAGAAGAAAGATCCGGAGAAAGTCCGAATAGGGAATGGATTTTAGAGATTGCAGATAGGGCAGAGTATGTGACTTTTTTTTGATTAAGTTAACACGATTTAGTCGTTCGCTTAAAAAGCGCTATTTACTAAACCGGAAGTTTCCGTTAACGAATTTCCAAGTGTTGGAAAACTTCTGCTATTATACAGAAAATTTCCATACCTCGCCATTACACGACCTCCTCCACGACTAGCCTTTTAATCCCAAAGTTAACGTTAAACAAAAATTGAATCGATTATTATTTGGCGCAACTTTTTTTGATGTAACAAAAACGAATTGCTTCCTGCACGTCTACACACCCAGTTCATTTGCTGGACGAGTTCTTTTATTTAACTGTCACTTTGGGATTCCTGCGATCGGACTTGTATGAAACGAAAAGGTGCTAGCGATTTTCCGGCTCCTCATTTGTTCCGCTTGTTGCAATTATTTGTAATTAATTGGGAATCGACGGGAAAAGCAGACAGTCAAAATGAAAAACCTCTCGGCGAACACGACAACAGATAAAATGATACCGATGTAGCCCGTAGTGTCATATCCACTTCAATAATAAATTGGTGTAACAGCGGCTACGGCACGATTCCATCTTCGATTCTTCGACATCACATTCGGCGGCGATTTTAATAAAACAAAATTAGCGCGTTAAATTTTCGCTGGGTGCGTTATTGGGAGGGCAGAAAATGTTTTTTGCGAAACGTCGATGGGAAAAATTGCCCGTTTTATTCGATCATCCACCGGTAGTCGGGCGATAAAAAGCGACAGCGAAAAAAAGAGTTGCTTTCAGCGTTTCAGTTGAAGTGGTAGTTTATATTGCTCCTAAACGATGTCGCATGACGTTTTCTCGATTTTTCTTTCATCTTAACTTGTCGTCTAGTGAAGCGCGGTAAATTGGGAAATACAATTATAAGTTTTGGTAAAGGAAATAGATCGAATTTCCGCATCTCCAGTATTTCTTAGCTGACGGTTGTTGACGGTGTGTTGTCACATCGCGTTTTGTTAGAAAATTGGAATTATATTCCCGGATCAATTTTCTACTATCCTACGCAATGATAAATCCGCGGAATTGCTTCGTTAAATTTTAATTTCAATTCGCTTTATTTGGTACATTTTTCATTAAATAGGATACGGAATGCTACAGCGAAATGAACAAATACCAAATGTAGTTTTTTAATTTTAAAATTTTTTTATCTGCATATTGCACAGGATAGTGAGAAAGTCCGGCAACAATGCATTTTCTTCGATACGAATGAATGACAATGTTTTTACTATCCACCACTATACTCACTATTCATTGGTAGATAGATGAAACTAAAAACAGTAGTAGGCGCTGAAAAAAATGTCATTCGTTCGTTTTAAATTAATTACACTGTTGCCAAATTTTTACTTTTACTGTATAAACTTTACAATGCATTTAATAATACCTATTTTCCGCATATTGTCCATGCTATAGGAATTCATTTTCTTTTTAGATCAAAGAGAATACAGTGAAATTAATAACTCTATGAAAAAATACAAAAATTTATTGGAAAAATGAAAATTTGCTATTGTAAAATAAGCAAGTAAATTATTTCATTTTAATTACAATAGAATTTACAAAAAATAATAACCAACTAAAAAATTTTAGAAGGATGGGTTATTTTTTTAGGGTTAAGTGGTGGATTCGTTTAATTGTAGGGATTTGTTAAAAACATTGAAAAAAAAAGTAGTATGATTAAAAAATAAAGCGATATATCGGACCAATGTTTATTTAGCATTTGAAACCGGAGGTCCATGAGATCATGACAGGTAAGCGCTTGCGTCACGCAAGGGTGGGGTAATACCTACTTTACAGCGGCCGAGCCAGTTCAGTTGTGTTCTCGAGCCGGGCGAAGCGAGGTGTATCAGAGCGCCGCATCGACCATAAACTGCTTGTTTTTTAATGAATCTCCCTGTTATCGGACCTGCCGCTGCATCGGAAACCTGAGAAATCTGCATTCGACGAGCCGTTTCGCAGCCAAGTCGATGCAAACGTCGAGGAACTGCATCGCAAAGTGTGCTGTGAATTCTAACCTCTACGGCCTGAAGATAGTTACAGATATTCCGGCTAAGGAAATTCGTGGTTTTGTGCACAGTGAACGATACATTTCTGCATAAAAGTCCAATCGCACGTCGTCCGCGGTGCTTTTGATCGCGAAACAGCGAACAAAAACTCCCTACATGACTAATTCGAAAGTGACATGTCGAAAGTAAACAACGTCTAGTTCAGAGGTAAGCCACTTTACGTTTCTAATCTGGTAAATAAATAGCGATAAACGATGGATTTTCGGTAGTGTTTCGCGTAGACGGTCGTTAGTCGCTGTGATCCAGCGATAGAGAAGGCATCGGTGTCTTTGACCACCTCGACATTCCATGGATACAAAACCGTGACTTTCGTCGTAGCGTCGGCTTTTCCGTTACCGCTCGAAGTAAGCGAACGTTTTCTTGCTTACCTATCGATTTTCAGCGAAAATATCAATTAAATAATGCCCAACAGATCCGCACGACCCACGTACGAATTCACCTATGCCTCGGGAATAATTAAGAACGGGCTGACCTTGGAGCATAATGCACATTCTCTAGGTGTGTGTGAACTGTAAATATTATGCCGGTATGCTCGAATCAACATTTCTCTTTCTTTCTGTGGCTCCATGCACAAACCTATAGACACACACACACTACACACGGATAATACAATAAATATTTTTTAAATTTACTTTACTTTTCATTGTGTATGCTTGTGTATTTATCAACGTTTCACGTTCTCTCGAAACGTTTCGCTTTTATATATCTTCTGGAGATGTCGAGATGCAGCAATAATATTGCCTCGCAGCTGTTAGCGTATGTTACCATTTCGGCGTTTTTGGCGTAAACAGTTCATCGAAAATTGCATAGATGTAAATCAACGTGTCTCAACATCGGAAAGCTTTCGTTTGATACCACTTTTGACTATTTCACGTTTTATTAATTACTTTATTAAAGGGTCAAATTTCGATACACTATGAATGAAATAATCGTTTTCGGCGCGTCCGAATTGCGAAATGTGGTCAGGAATTGTTAACGAAATGTGTAAATACAATTTAAAGTCCTGGGGAATAAAATGTCACTTTTTTTGCTGATGGTGGAGAAAAAAATGCATCAAGTATGATCCCACTTTCTACTTCCCTTGCGTTTATTCACGGCAATCACGGCTTGGAGGAGGAGCCGCCAGTCGTAATTGGCGATAAAAATTAGTTAGAAAACAAAAAATTACCGAATTCTAAACCGGCTTGCATCCGCCGGTCCGCAATTGGTGGTAAGAATTAATCACTAAACAAAAAATTGCGTTCTTTAATAGAATTCACTCTCGATCGCCGGCCAATCGCGAGGGTAGCAGCTGAAGGAGGCGATTGGATATTTTCTACCAGTCGCAATTAGCGATAAAAATTAGTCAGGTTTTTTAAACAAAAAAATTAAGCTTAATTCCGAATAGAGTTTAATAATGTTTGACTATAGTTCGCAATTCGTGTGCGCCCAAGCCTTTCGCGTGCCTAAAATTTAGCGGTTTATTTCGGTATTGAACAAATGGGTTTATTTACTATTTATGAATAATTTTAGATAAAGAAATATTCCCACAGTAAAAGATACCATATCTATTTAAACTGTTCATTTTAGTAATAAGCCTATTGTTCACCCACATCGCTTTGTGGTTTTTTATATTGCTCATTTCCTAAAAACTAATGCAAAACAGTAAATTCCGAAACCACAATGCGTATAGGGCAAAGTACACAATGTTAACAAGAATATGTTTATTGGCCTTGTTTACATTTTTTTCGTTTAAGTATCGCTACCTACTTAGTTGTTGATGCGTTCAAATTTTCTTATGTTAAGTAACGTTCTTAAGGAATCTTATACATTATAACAGACTTATTAAGGAGTACTTTTAGAATCCTTCAAAGTTAATCTACATACCTATACATTTTAATTAAGTTTCTTCAGTTCGCTCATCATCCATGCCACAACAAAATATTTAGACCCGTGTGAGAACCAGCATAAATATATCCCCAAAATCATTGTGGCAAGAATCCATCTACAATAATTTTGTTTCCAGTCATTCAAGTTGTTGGATGTTGCTTCCATATAATTTTTGTTTAGGTTTATCTGCGCAGAGACCAAGTTGAAACTCTTCTTTGTAGATTTCAGCCTCTATATGCTGTTGCTGGTGCTGGACCCATCTGTGTACCAGATGCTACTGGAGGCTGCGAATTTCCCCTTTTTCATATCGTCCATTTTCATGCCACTTACCGGTTTGTCTGGATTTTCGACACTTAAATTGTGGAATAACGTTTGTTTTTTTTTTAGTAAATATTGAAATAATTTATTTCACGGACTGAAAACAATTAGAAAATTAATTAAAATCCAGCCTCTTATATAAACCGACGGTGAAAGTGGCCACTGTTAAAAAAAGTTTTATTGTTTACAACAAATTACCAATAAATATTTAGATTTGGTGTTTATTGATTTATGCGATTAGAATTTGTCTATCTGTGGAATATGTACTTAAATTGTCCCCATATTCATCGTTTCGTGGAATTCAAACAACTTCTTCTCGTTCCATTGCAATTTGTAATAGAGGTAAATGGATAGCAGATCAATAATTGGACTTCGGCCAATTCTCCACCTCCTAGTAGTGTTTTCTAGTTATTTAATTTTCAATAGAGCGCGAGAATGCTTAGCTTAAAATTCAGTGGAAATTAATCTGCAGTTGCTCGATCGAATTGAGTCGATTAAATACCTAAAATACGTTTAATAGTTTTGAGCACCGTAATTTTTTAATCGGATTAAATTGACCTCTCGAATGAATTATTTTCACCCGTTGAAGCATACGCGAACTTTCTACACTACTTATATGCATGGAACGGGAAAGTACTTAATTATATTGATTCGATCATCGAAAGTTTCGGGGAAAACCGAAGGGAAAACATTCACTGAAAAGCATCGGCGATAGAACCGTATTATTTTTTGCGCTTAAGCGATCAACATGACCGCTTCGACGAGGTAGTAGGAGGGTCCGCATAGCTTCCGACGTTTTGTTTTCGAAAACTCCGGGAAAGGGTTAAATCCGAAGTAAATTTTACATTCGGTTAATCCGCTTGTAGTTTGAACAACGTTTATTCGGTTAATTCGAACGAAATTGCATTGTTTGCGGCGGCATAAAACCAATTTAATAATTATTGTAACTGGACGCCGCGCCTGCCGGAGCGGTTTGCACTATTAATAATAAATACCTATTTGTTTTTAAGTATTAATGTTTTTTTTTAAATCAATTATTCAAGGAGTTAATGCTGCTTGAGATTTCTTTTACTTTGATCACAAATCAATCAAAATCAACGTTTGAAATTAAAACCTATTCATTGGAATTTATAATTATTTTTATTTGCCAGATTAACATAAACGAGGGTTACCTTCCTACTTAATAATAATTTATTAAATTAGCAACTTCAAATAGAATTAATATTTCAATTGTTAATAGTTTCATGAAAAACGAGTACTAAAAATAGAAATGATTGAATTATCCAAATAATCTATAAATATACCTACTAATGATTATTATCTGATGTGTTTTTTGTGATTGTAATTCCATAAAATATTTTTATCATTACAAAATGAATGAGTGATATAAAGAAAATATTTACGACGATATTCATACAAATTATTACAATTCGTATGAAGTAAAATGAGCTTCTAAATTACCGAATTGACTTATTTTTTTATTCTAATTACCCGTAATATTCGCAATCGTCAATTCTGACCAGGCAATGTTAACTTTTGAATAATGTATATTTCGGTTTCCAAGTTTATGTTAATACCAATCATGTAAATTGAAATCGCCTATGACTCATTCGTTGGTTCACTAAAATATAAAAATCATTTTTTTGACACTAAACCAGACACCAGAGTCAATGACTCACTTAAAATACGAGGTATGTACACACTAGTTGATCATAAAAAATTACACATTCTCTAAATGTACTTACAATGGGTAAAAAGTATACGGTTCGAATGTAATTAAGTTTTGTAACTATTTCCAAACTTTTTTTTCATTTATTTAAGTAAGTAAATTATGTATGTCACATAATATTATCAAAGTGTATTATATCTACTGATATTTGAAGCTACATTACTGATTACTGAAATATTACTGATTTAACAATAGTCTTACCATTAGGTATAGGTACATACCTATAATGTAGGTAATTGTGTTTGAATTTAATACAATTGTATTGTTCTAAATTTCGAATTGGTATTAATCGGTATCGCTGAGTAGTGACAAATACCTACTTATTGGAGCCATTTGTGCTAAGTGCACAGCGTCAAAATCCATAAATTTATAGGTATCGATTTTCTCTTCATATAGGTACCTATTTCGCCACTTTTAAAATGCATCTGAATTCGATCAAGGTAATTTCGTTACGTTTTGACTGACTAAAAGACGAATACAAAAAATAAATCAATTAAACCGATCGCTATCGCTGTAGACCTAAACAATTCGAAACTTCTATCATTGGATAATTTAAATTTATCTATTACTTATATTTATCGCGATCGGCCATTTTTGTTTTGTAAGCAAGATCTGAAATTATTTATTGCTCGCGATAATTAACGTTGCAGGGGCAATAAAACAACTCTTCCTCGAATGTATAAATGTAATATTTTCAACCGTGACTTCAAGTTACCTAATACTTATCTGGAATAGTTCAAACGACGCCGGAGGGTTATATAAATAACCTAAATAAATATCACGAATTTATTTAGATCGGCCGTTTAATTAAGTCCGATTTCAATTCTACAAATATCATTTTTCTTATATTCAAATGAAAGGTTTTATACTCCCATATTTTTAAAATAATGATGATGAATTTTTTATCTGGGAGTAAACATGTTAATTTATACAGTGGAATATGCAGACGACTATAAATTAATTAATTGTATAGCTTAACTGTTAATTTAGAAAAATGTTTAGTTATGTATCAGCAAAGTCCGAGTGGAATATTTCAGATTTCTGGTAGTCGATTTGATCTTATTATGTTTATAGTATTTTCGACCTATTTAAATTAGTATGCGTATCATTTTATTCATCATTGCTTATGAATACTAATGAGCTTAATGTCGACCTCAAGATCATCACATCAGATTTGTACAATAAAATAAACGTTAAATTGGATTTTCTTTAGACAATCGAACAAGCAACC